AAACTTCGTTTTTACGGGTAATTTTTTTTTTTAGATGCCCTGGCGTTTCGGAGGATTGCTATATCAAACCAAAATTATGCCACTGGTTCATCATCACCCAAACCCACTTCTCCCAACCCTTACCCCTACCGTTGCGGGGTGTATCTCCGCCGATTTTTGGACTGTAAGTCCAGCATGCTGACCGTTACGCCACCGTGGAAAGCGGCAGCTTAGCTTACCTCGATTACAACAGCAGCAGCAGCAACTGCAGCAGCAGCAGCAGCAACTGCAGCAGCAGCAACTGCAGCAGCAGCAGCAACAGCAGCAGCAGAAACTGCAGCAGCAGCAGCAACTGCAGCAGTAGCAGCAGCAGCAGCAACTGCAGCAGCAGCAGCAACAGCAGCAGCAGCAGAAACTGCAGCAGCAGCAGAAACTGCAGAAGCAGCAACTGCAGCAGCAGCAGCAACTGCAGCAGCAGCAACTGCAGCAGCAGCAGCAACTGCAGCAGCAGCAACTGCAGCAGCAGCAGCAGCAACTGCAGCAGCAGCAGCAACTGCAGCAGCAGCAGAAACTGCAGCAGCAGCAACTGCAGCAGCAGCAACTGCAGTAGCAGCAACTGCAGCAGCAGCAACTGCAGCTCCCTTTGATGCTGTTAATCCTGCATAATGCACATGCATATGTAGTACTAATCACATTCCTGCATTTTCCATAAATATGCTAAATTCCTCTTGATATGCAAATTCCTTTGTCAAGGCGCCCAGCTTATATATATGCTCCAAGCTCGTGTGCTGTTTCATTCAGACTCTGTCGCCTCGACGGACCTGGTTTTCACCTGAGGACGGCTGCTTGCGTTGTGGCCGAAACGTCGTGAGAATAATTTTATTATGTTTTATTTTTATTATTTTATTACTTCCCTTCTACGTGACTTTACCGAAAGAACCAAGAAGATACAATGGACATCATCATCGTCGTCATCGTCACCAGAATCCCCCCGGCGTATTGCGGAGCAAGTCTACTCGCTCGCGCACCCCCAACGATTATGCCGCCTTTGGTTATTCTCGCCTTGTTCGTGAACTGTAATTACAGGGACTCCTCTCCTTCCGAACGAGTTCAGTACCAGAGGTTTGTTCATGAGTCGATTTGTTTGTAAGTCCAACTTTACGCCTTTCGATTCCAAACATGTTGTACGGCATATACACTGAACACTGGGAATGGCTTTATCTCCTCTAGACGTAGATGGCACTGGTTATTCACGTTCTGCAGATGTAGATGCCACTGGTTCTTCACGTTCTGCAGATGTAGATGCCACTGGTTCTTTACGTTCTGCAGATGTAGATGCCACTGGTTTTTCATGTTCTGCAGATGTAGATGCCACTGGTTTTTCATGTTCTGCAGATGTAGATGCCACTGGTTCTTCACGTTCTGCAGATGTAGATGCCACTGGTTCTTCACGTTCTGCAGATGTGGATGCCACTGGTTCTTCACGTTCTGCAGATGTAGATGCCACTGGTTCTTCACGTTCTGCAGATGTAGATGCCACTGGTTCTTCACATTCTGCAGATGTAGTGCCACTGGTTCTTCACTTTCTGTAGATGTGGATGCCACTGGTTCTTCACGTTCTGCAGATGTAGATGCCACTGGTTCTTCATGTTCTGCAGATGTAGATGCCACTGGTTCTTCACGTTCTGCAGATGTAGATGCCACTGGTTCTTCACATTCTGCAGATGTAGATGCCACTGGTTCTTCACGTTCTGCAGATGTAGATGCTACTGGTTCTTCACGTTCTGCAGATGTAGATATCACTGGTTTTTCACTTTCTGTAGATGTAGATGCCATTGGTTCTTCACGTTCTGCAGATGTAGATGCCACTGGTTCTTCACGTTCTGTAGCTTTAGATGCCACTGGTTCTTCACGTTCCGCAGATGTAGATGCCACTGGTTCTTCACGTTCTGTAGATTTAGATGCCACTGGTTCTTCACGTTCTACAAATGTAGATGCTACTGGTTCTTCACGTTCTGCAGATGTAGATGCCACTGATTCTTCACGTTCTGCAGATGTAGATGCCACTGGTTCTTCACGTTCTGCAGATGTAGATGCCACTGGTTCTTCACGTTCCGCAGATGTAGATGCCACTGGTTCTTCACGTTCTGCAGATGTCGATGCCACTGGTTATTCACGTTCTGCAGATGTAGATGCCACTGGTTCTTCACATTCTGCAGATGTAGATACCACTGGTTTTTCATGTTCTGCAGATGTAGATGCCACTGGTTCTTCACGTTCTGTAGATGTAGATACCACTGGTTTTTCATGTTCTGCAGCTGTAGATGCCATTGGTTTTTCACGTTCTGCAAATGTAAATGCCACTGGTTCTTCACGTTCTGCAAATGTAGATGCCACTGGTTCTTCAAGTTCTGCAGATGTAGATGCCACTGGTTCTTCACGTTTTGCAGATGTAGATGCCACTGGTTCTTCACGTTCTGTAGATGTAGATGCCACTGGTTCTTCACGTTCTGTAGATGTAGATGCCACTGGTTCTTCACGTTCTGCAGATGTAGATGCCACTATTACTTCATGTTCTGCAGATGTAGATGCCACTGGTTCTTCACGGTCTGCAGATGTAGATGGCACCACCACCATCTATTATGCGGCAGTTTAGCTTACAACTCTCAGTCCGAACAGGCAACTGGACATACGAACAGTCGAATGTTCGTTAGTAGAGGTGTCCCTAAACTCGATTCATCATTTAATTACGTCGGCTGCAGCTGTTCCAGATACCTCCTCCTTCGCATTATTTCTTGCTCCGGCGCGGGATTCCTCATTTTCAAGAGACAATCGGTGGCGGGGGGCGGGGGGAAGCAATACCCACCCATCTGCTGTCGGCTCGTCGAGGCGAAACGTCGGACAACCGTGCCGGAAACGAGCGCATGGCTCGCCGCAGAGGCGCACTCGAGCGTTTTTGGGGCCAATTTCCTTCGCCCACCCCCGGCGAGACTCTTTTCCCGAGGGCATTCGTTTTCTCCCTAAAAGCCCGGCTGCTATACACAGTCTTTTTTTCTTTCGCGTTCGTTTTGTTTTCCCGGTCAAGGTTATTCCAATTGCGAATATGTCCAGAAAGAGTAGGTAAGAGAAAATCACTAATAATAGTTTGATATAATAATAACAGTAATATATATATAAATAAATGTTGCCTGCGAGCCGAGAGCAATGATGAATTAAATTGAACATTGCGCGGGGGTTTATGAGCCTAGTACAGGTACATTGGTGCTCGTGCCGGTGACCCACATTAGACCCCAAGACTCCGAAATCCCGTCGGCTGTACAGATCGCATGTACACGCGCGCTCACATGCAAGAAGACACATCTCGCCCCGGATAGCCTTCACCGACTTAGGAGGGACAGCGCTGTTAGCGAGTCCCGGCGCCGATGATGAAGGCCAGCAGGGCGCACGGAGGGGTTGGGTGGCCCAGAGGTCGCAACCGGGTACCCGATATTCGTACCCTACCTGATACCCGGCTACCCGTACCCGGCCGGGTACGGGTACGGGTACCTGTTTGCGACCCTGGTGCAGCCGGGTACGGGTACGGGTAGGCTGTGAGTCACTGGTGAGTCACCGTTTGTCACTCATTTCCCAACGTCTTGTCTCTTCTCACAATTCAAGTTCTTAGAATCAACCCACCCGTGCCTGCAACATGGCTTCATCCCAGAGGTCGCAATCGGGTACCCGATACCCGTACCCTACCCGATACCCGGCCGGGTACGGGTAGGGTACGGGTACGGCCGGGTATGGGTACGGGTACCCGTTTGCGACCCTGGTGCGGCCGGATACGGGTACGGGTAAGGAATCAAAACCCGTTTGCGACCTCTGGGGTGGCCAAAGCCACACGTGACCAGCTCGCTAACAGCACTTGCTCCAACGGTTTGTGAAAGGCTATACGGGGGATCTTTGTCTTCGTGGCATAGTGATGAGCGCAATGCAACTTAGAACCCAGTGATCCCCGAATTCGATTTCCACTCACGGACCAACACCCGGTGACGATAATCTGAACCGGTGCTGGACCTTCCCTAGGTCGACTCAGCCTCAAATGAGTAGCTGGTGCGGTTTGTAAACATTGCCACGAGGGAGACAAAAGTGGTCGGGCGTGGTGTTGGCTACCGACCCCCTCGTGCGCCGTGCCGGCCTTCATAGGTGCTACTCACTAACGCCACTTGCCCCAACAGTCTGTTCAGGCTATACGGGGGATATTTGTCTTTATTGTGGGGAGCAGTAGTGTAGCGGTTAGCGTGCTGCGCTACTTACCTGGCCACCCGAGTTCGATTCCCGCTCATGGCCAACACCAGCGACGATTATTTGATCCGGTCCTGGGCCTCCTCCCCGAGGTCGACTCAGCCTCAAAACGAGTACCTGGATGCTGTGTGTGTGTAAATATCGCCACCGGGGAGACAAAGGCGGCCGGGCGTGGTTGCTGGCCACCAACACTTTCACACGTGGCTGTTTCCGACCTAGATGGGTGCCGCTCGCTGTACTGGCAACTTGACCCCGACGATGCTTGTGGGTGGGGGTGGTGGTCGGAGGTGTTGGTGGTAGCTGTGCTGGCGGTGGCAGTAGTGGTGGTGGTAGCGGTTGAGGTGGTGGTGAGTGTGGTCGTGGTGGTGGCGGTTTCAAGATCGGCCTTCTGTGGAGGAGGCTCGTGAAGGACGCTGCTAATGGGCAGTTGTAGGCAATCGCCCTCCAGCAACAGCGGAGGGCGGAGGAGCGACGCTCACAACAGCGAGAGGAGCGCCGGGCAGCTAAACAGCAGCAAGTTGGCACAGTAGGGGGAACAGCTGGTGGTGCATCTGCCAGTCATCTCAGTCAGCCTCCTGGGTCTGTCCCATGACCTCCTGTCAGCGAGCCTTCAACACTTCACGTGGCCTCAAAGTACACCTAGCCTGGCACAGGCACCGTGGTGACGTCTCCGTCACTTTGTGGCGAATGGCGGATTTTGGCATTGGTTGTCGATGACCTTTGTCTTTGCGTTGCAGGTGCTGTACAAGCGGGCGGACATCGCCATCGGCTCCCTCACCATCAACGAGGAGCGCCAGGAGGTCATCGACTTCTCGGTGCCCTTCGTCGAGACGGGCATCAGCGTCATGGTGTCCATCTCCAACGGCACTGTGTCACCCTCCGCCTTCCTGGGTACGGCGCAGCAGTAGAAGAAGAAGTAGCAGCAGCAGTAGTAGGAGAAGCAACAGTAGTAGCAGGAGCAGTCACGGTAGTAGAAGCAGCTCATTTGTAATTGTGACGCTGGCACACGAGGGGTCTAACGCTTGCCAGCGACGCCGTGGGAATTTTATCGTCCACTGTGTTCGAAGCGCCCGCGGTATTAATCGGGGCAGCTGTTCGAACCGAACCCACGAACCTCTCGCAATCGATGTTCACGGGTGTCCTAGTAACTGCATTATCAGTGGTGTAGTAACTACATTATCAGTGGCGTAGTAACTACATTATCAGTGGCGTAGTAATTACATTATCAGTGGCGTAGTAACTACATTATCAGTGGTTTAGTAACTGCATTATCAGTGGCGTAGTAAACTACATTATCAGTGGCGTAGTAACTACATTTTCAGTGACGTAGTAACTACATTATCAGTGGCGTAGTAACTACGCCTATTATTCTATATCGTGGACTCCTTTTGCACCTAATGACATTACGTCGTTACGCTCTCACGGTCTCGAACATTTTAAGCTGTCGGTGTGGCGGGCGGGTGGGCGTGCCTCCGTCTTCCAAAAGTAGACCTCGTCGTTCTTTGACACCGTTGTTGAGAACAAATCTCATGGTGGTTGTCAAGGGGGGCCCCCCCTCAAATCGTATTTTCAGCGAATATTTCCCGCGGCTCCGAAACCCACGGCCGATGCGGGTCGATTGAAAGCGCGCGCGCGCACGCGAAACACATTCCCGTTTAAATTAAAACCCCCCTTTTTCCCCGCCGCCTCGCCGCTCACATACAGCTTGATTAAAATCGCGCGCGCAAAACACACGCCAGCGCGCACACGCTCACGCTCACGCACGAGGCACTACGCTTTGTTATTCTTAAAGAAGGCTTATCGGGCTGAGACGGAGCCTCATGATAAACATATCCTCGGGGGGCGGGCAGGCGTGGGGCGGTGGAGGAGGGGCGGCGGTGGTGGTGGCGATGCGGTTGTGGGGGGGGGGGCTGCGTTCATTCAATTAACTTTAATTAATTGACCGACTGAATAAACATGACGTGACCTACAGCGGTGCGCGTGGCGGAACGCGATCGCAGCAGCAGGATGTTTGTTGCATTCACGCGGGGGGGCGGGGAAGTGGGGGGGGGCGCCCCCCCCCACTCTACTCCCATCACTTCGGTGGGGTGGAGATGCAAATTTGGCAACGGATTTGCGTCTCTCATCTCAGAGATTTTGTTACTTTGCTCTGCTCCAGGTTAGGGGCCGTCCATAAATGACGTCAGGTGATTTTGGACGATTTTGACCCCCCCCCCCCCCGCGTCACACGGCGTCACAAAAAGTCAGACCCCCCCTAAAATATGACGTCACAAAGCTCTGCCCCCCCCCCCCCTCAAAAACCATTTTTCTATTTTTAAAATAAAACATGCTTCAAATCGCTTTAAACTTTTGCCATTGTAGTGCGTATTTAATGTGGCGGTGCATTCTGATGTTGTAGGAGTGTTTCGATTTAAAGCTTTCGTGACTGCAGGGATTCATCTTCTTGGTTCTTTCGGTAAAGTCACGTATAAGGGAAATAATAAAATAATAAAAATAAAACATAAAAAAAAATCTCACGACGTTTCGTCCTCAACGCAAGCAGCCGTCCTCAGGTGAAAAACAGGTCTGTCGGAAAGACAGCGTCAGACGCTGTCTTTTCTGTTTGCATTGTGGTTAATGCAGGCATGAATCCTCGTAAAAAGGTTTCAGTTTTGTTGCCGGAAAAAAGGGGAAAAGCCCTATTATTATATTTTGGTACTGGCAAAGGAGGTCTAATGATGTCGTCCCAGACCACACCAAAACAACAACAGTCTATCAACTCCACTGCACGATGGACTGTGGCTCTGCTGTGTCATCCCCCCACCCCAATCCTCCTACAGAACCCTACAGTGCTGCCGTGTGGGTCATGATGTTCGTGCTGTGCCTTTCCGTCGTGGCCATCGCTGTCTTCGTCTTTGAGTACATCAGCCCCAAGAGCTACGATCGCAACTTGGCCAACGGAGCAAGTAAGGGAGACCCAGTGTGACGACCCCCCCACATACCCCCCACGTGATCCCGTGTGACCCCGGGTGACCCCACCCACGTGACCCCGAATGACCCCCACGTGACCCCCCCCCCGTGACCCCCACGTGACCCCACCCGCGTTACCACCGCGTGACCCCCACGTGACCCCCACCCCGCATGCCCTCCACCCCCCCCCCTCGCGTGACCCCACCCACGTGACCACCACGTGACCCCCGCTCGGTCTCCATGCTCGGGCGGCTTTGATTGGTCGTTGTCGTAGTCGCCGGACTATGTTACTCGCCTCGACGATTTGTCGGAGTCAGCGCGTCACCCACGCGCGTCACCACCCGTTCAACGCGCGTGTTACGTCAGCCGCACGGCTCGGCTTCTGCAGTGGAAAAACAACCAGGCCACGTCCTGAGTCACTAATTGCCAGCAGTTGAAACTGCACCTTTACATTAATTTTTAGTCTCCGGTTTGGGGCCAAGCAGGGCCAGGAGTGAGGTGGGTGGGGGAAGGGGTTAATCACTTTTTTGTCGCCCGAAAAGAATTAACGTGTGGCGCTGTTCGCATTCTACGGTGGTAAAATTACTGGGCCACCTCCTGAGGTGGGCTGAGGCAAAGTTGTGCAGTTATAAAAATAAGGGAGGTACTCTATGAGACATCTCCTTTACCAGTGGCAAAATATAGTAATAGGTTTTTACCCTTTCAACTGGTACAAAAACTGACACCTTTATACAAGGCATCATGTTTGCAATAACCACAACACAAGCAGTCAAAATGCAAACAAAAAGAAACAACTCTGATGATGATAATGATATGCACTATCCTTGAAGTTGATTGGTTCACACCCGAGACAGCTTTTCTTAGAGCCTAGTCTCCATTGGTGTTGGACCAGATGACGCCAAAAGGCGTACAACTCAAAGACAGCGCACTATCAGAGTATTGAGAGCTCGGGGTAAGCATTTACACTATGAGACCTCCTTTACCAGTGGCAACATATAGTAATAGGTTTTTACCAGTGGCGGCTCCTGCAAAATCTCTCAGGGGGGGCAAATGTCTGGATGATTGATAAGGATAAGGTCCACCCATGCAATGGATAAATTAACAGCTTAAGCATGTAAAGGCAACTTCACTTCTTTAATATTAATGAAAAATAAAGTGACTCTTACAATACATCTTGTTTGTTTCTATACTCACTATTAAAACAAACCACTCAAGTTTATTTTATGAAAGATTCCACTAGGTGGCCACAAATTATATTGTTGGATGAAACGTGCTTACGTATGATGACGTAAGCACGTATGATGACGTAAGCACGTTAGGGCGAGCCCTCCCGGAAGCCATAGAGAATGCATTGGAGCGCCCCCAGGTCGAAAAAAAACATCTTTGAATGTAAGTCTATGGGGCCACTCGGGGCGATTCTCAGCCGGAGTGAATTCGCCCAAAAAGAGGCGGTACTCCACAGAACGTGACATGACGCTGATTGGACTATATCCAGAGGCTGCAGTGATGGCTAGCGTGACTCTGTGGTTCAATGACATTGGTGGTGCGTCGCCCAATCGCCCTAATGAAGAAACCTCCCCTGGTTTTTACCCTTTCAACTGGGAGGTACTGTTCTGTACCGTGCTAATCGGAGATGCGGGGGGGGAGTGGGGGGGATAACAAACTTGACGTGAAAATCAGCCCTGAAGAAATACGTTTGTCAATCGAGAATGATTTCAAAGTGCCATCTCAGTGGGCTTCCTCTTATCGGAAGGAAGAAGCGTTCCAGACGGACCGCAGAAGCGCGCCCGAGAGCGCCGCTCGATGCGGCGACCGCCTTTGATCCTCGGCGTAGCCAAAAACCGCCGCTGCCGCTGCACGGAAGACCGGAGGCATCGCGTCTCATTTGCGGCAAGCCACTTTGCGCGCGACGAGTGGAGAGGCAAGCCAAGCTGGCGCTCGCTGCCAGGCGCCGCTGCTACCGATGGTCGTGAACCTGGCGACGAGGTGACGTCGTGCCGTCGCTGGCCGTGGCACTCCGCTGGAGCCGTCGTCGTTCGCCGCGCTTTCACCGCACGGACCCCGTGCCAAGCGGTCCCAATCCGCTCAAACTCGTGCCAACCATCTCCCCGAGTGCCATTTTAAAAAAAAAATTCTACTCCAAGCCACCCTCTATCCCCCCGCTCCCCCCCGCCATCCCCTCCTCCCCCGCCATCCCCGAAAGCAAATTACTCCAAAGAACATGAAGGTGGAAGCGTCGGCGAAAAACACGACGGAGCGTTCGGCTGGAACACGGAACATTTGCGCCAAAGGGCATTGATTGAGGTTGGAGGAGGGGGGTGGGCGGTGGGGGGGAGCGAGAGGGAGCGGGGAAGGGGGGAGCGGAATAAGGGGCCAGTGGGATTGGCGCGCCCGGTGAATAAAAACTGGCTCAATCGTCGCCTTCGATCCTGGAAGTCATGTTGCCGCATGGGAAGGGGAGGCTGGGGCAGGGGGGGGGGGGCGGGGGGGGGGGTGGCGGGGGGGCAGGGGGTGGGGGCGCAAGGGGGGCAGCCGTAAGCAGCTTGCTCGGATTTAATTTCTCCGCGCGCGCTTCCAGCCGGCTGCCTCTCTCTCTGCTCCGGGTCGCATTCCTCCGCTGCCCTCGCAACGGAGATCCGAGGACCCAAATTGACGCCGAGACGATCCGTAGACTTCCGCGGAGATAGCCGACTCACTCGCCCAGAGACATTCAGCCTGGCACAGAGACATTCAGACTGGCACAGAGACATTCAGACTGGCACAGAGACATTCAGAATGGCACAGAGACATTCAGACTGGCACAGAGACATTAAGACTGGCACAAAGACATTAAGACTGGCACAGAGACATTCAGCCTGGCACAGAGACATTAAGACTGGTACAGAGATATTAAGACTGGCACAAAGACATTCAGCCTGGTACAGAGACATTCAGACTGGCACAGAGACATTCAGCCTGGTACAGAGACATTCAGACTGGTACAGAGACATTAAGACTGGTACAGAGATATTAAGACTGGCACAAAGACATTCAGCCTGGTACAGAGACATTGAGACTGGCACAGAGACATTAAGACTGGTACAGAGACATTCAGCCTGGCACAGAGACATTAAGACTGGTACAGAGACATTTATACTGGCACGGGAGTGTCTGGGTCTCTATTCAAGTCTAAGGGACCTCTTCTTGGTTCTTTCGGTAAAGTCACGTAGAAGGGAGATAATAAAATAATAAAAATAAAACATAATAAAATAATAAAATTCTCACGACGTTTCGGCCACAACGCAAGCAGCCGTCATTCAGACGCTGTCTTTCCGACAGACACGTTTTTCACCTGAGGACGGCTGCTTGCGTTGTGGCCGAAACGTCGCGAGAATTATTTTATTATGTTTTATTTTTATTATTTTATTATCTCCCTTCTACGTGACTTTACCGAAAGAACCAAGAAGATGAATCCCTGCAGTCACGAAAGCTTCAAATCGAAATCTAAAGGACCTCTTAAGGCTACGGGTCGCTATTTGAGGCTACGGTCCCCTGTGTGAGTCATTGGTGACCAGGCTGAGAACATCAACTCACCGCACCTGAGAACCCGGTTTAAACTACAGACAGCAGCAGCTGCCGTGTCCGAGACCCGGATGTGAACCCAGGTTCCTTGCGCGGACCTCTGAGCCATGAGGACTCTTTCAAACATCCACCCCTAGCATCCTCATCGCTACCCTCCCCAGCATCCTTCTCTGTTGCTTTGTGCTCACGTTTGTGCATCGGATGATGACGATGACGACGACGACGACGACGATGAGGATGATTATTATTACTCGGGTCTCGTTCACGCAGGAAAGCCTCCTTGAGTCCCCAAGACTCTTCGTCAGGAGGAGGACGAGGGGCCAGCCAGGTTTTTTCCGCAGTAGCTCTGGCGATGCCACTTTGTGTAATCCCACACCCGGGTACGTTACGTGCGTACATGTGCTGGACTGGTCACGCACCGGACGTAGCCAACCGCGCTCATCGAAGGCGCCTCCGCTAGAGTTGGGAGACTTTTCAAGAGCTCCTCTGCCGGGTGTTCTTGGCCTACTCTTCCAAGCCGGGGGCCAGAGCGTCTCGGTAGAAGTGCCAGTGCCCCACGCTTTTACGCCACCACCACCACCACGCCAAACCTGCGAATTGTTGCGGGGTGTTGCTAAAAAACAATGCTGGGTGGACAGAGACGCCGGTGATGGGGGGGGGCGTGGGGTCGGGGGCCGGGGGGATCAGGGGGGATCAAGGGTGGGTGGAAGTCGAACCAGCGGCATCCCCATGACGGTTGATCCCGCTCAATATAACATCAAATCGAAAACTGCGCTGACAAACAACTTAAAACATTCATACGCCCACGGGGAAACCGGCTCGAATTGATATGCATTCCACATTTGCACTTACTTTTACATAGCAAGCGAGAAACAATGATGCTCTTCTGCCAAAGTTATTTATTCAGAACTTCTTCTTTGCATTCGGTTGTTTGGTGCCTTCCCTACGCAACTCCCGTTGGCGCGGTTGGCTACGTACGGTGCGAAAAAAGTTCAGCATACGTAATCCGCACATAGACTAACACAGAGTCCCATAGACTCACATGGAGACCCTTAGCCTCACACAGGGACCCATAGACTCACACAGAGACCCATAGACTCACACAGAGACACTTAGACTCACACAGAGACCCATAGACTCACACGGAGACCCATAGACTCACACAGAGACCCACAAACTCACACAGAGACCCATAGACTCACACAGAGACCCATAGACTCACACAGAGACCCATAGACTCACACAGAGACCCATATACTCACACAGAGACACTTAGACTCACACAGAGACCCATAGACTCACACGGAGACCCATAGACTCACACAGAGACCCATAGACTCACACAGAGACCCATAGACTCACACAGAGACCCATAGACTCACACAGAGACCCATAGACTCACACAAAAACCCATAGACTCACACAGAGACCCATAGACTCACACGAAGACCCATAGACTCACACAGAGACCCATAGACTCACACAGAGACACATAGACTCACATAGAGACCCATAGACTCACACAGAGACCCATAGACTCACATAAAAACCCATAGACCTACTCAGATACCCACAGACTCACACAGAGACCCATAGACTCACACAGAGACCCATAGACTCACACAGAGACCCATAGACTCACACAGGGACCCATAGACTCACACAGAGACCCATAGACTCACACAGGGACCCATAGACTCACACAGAGACCCGTAGACTCACACAGAGACCCATAGACTCACAGAGACCCATAGACTCACACAGAAACCCATAGACTTACCCAGAGACCCACAGACTCAGCCAGAGACCCATAGCCTCACACAGAGACCCATAGACTCACACAGGGACCCATAGACTCACCCAGAGACCCATAGACTCACACAGGGACCCATAGACTCACACAGAGACCCATAGACTCACACAGGGACCCATAGACTCACACAGAGACCCATAGACTCACACAGAGACCCATAGACTCACATAGAGACCCATAGACTCACACAGAGATCCATAGACTCACACAGAGACCCAGAGACTCACACAGAGACCCATAGACTCACACAGGGTCCCATAGACTCACACAGAGACCCATAGACTCACATAGAGACCCATAGACTCACACAGAGACCCATAGACTCACACAGAGACCCATAGACTGACATAGAGACCCATAGACGTACATTAAAATGCATGGCTGGGGGGCGGGGGGTATCAAGGGGATTTGCACAGTTGTCTAACAGATTAAATTAACCGCGCGGCAAAGGGCGGTAGGCAGGGTGGGGTGCGGGGGATGAGAATGGGGGGGATTGGTGGGGGGGGGGTGCACCAAGACGTGCTGAGACGAGGAGCCCAGGGCGTCCGCAGCCTTGCTCGTTAGGGTCACGGAGGGAGGGCCAAGTAGCAGCGGCCACTTGGCGATTATGAAAGTACAGATCTCCGCGTCTATCGGACATCTGGGATTGGAGCAGGTACAGGTTGGTTTTTTTGTCGTCCGGCATTTGCTTTCTTGCTTTCTTTCCCTCCGGACACCTTCCAAGGCGTCTGTGGAGGCGGCTCCCATTCGCAAGTTCGCGGTTGGCCCCAGCACGCGCGGCGTCATTTGAGAGCCGCTGAAACTGTTGCGAGGACGCGGAGACGATTATTCGACCACTCGGCCGATGCGGACAAAACGGCGCGCTGGGGCGGCGAGCGGTTTTTGTGCCGCGCGACTATCAAACGACGGCCCTTTCTTCAGACTTTTAATTTTATTCATTATTATTTTTTTGTATAAAAAACTAAAAATACTTTCGCTTAGGAAAGTAAATGCTGCCCGTTTAATAATAATAAAAAAAATTAACTTTCGCGAGAAAAATTAACGCTGCCCGTTTAAAAGAATACGTTAAAAAAAGTATTTCCTTAACAAAAGTAACTTTGGGATTTACAAGACAAAAATTTACTTCAACATTTGTAATGCCGCCGTTCAAAATAATACTAAAAACTTTCACTCACAAAAGTACCACGTGCGAAAGAAGTTCAACATGCTACATACATAAACAATACAAAAAAGCTTTCACTAACAAAAGTAACAGTGCCATTTGAAAAATACTTAAATATTCGCTTACAAAAGTAACGATGCCATTGACAAAAAAACACTAAAGCGTTCACTCACAAAAATGTCGCACCTCCGAATAGTGCGGTCGGCTACGTGCGGTGCGAAATAAGTTCACCACGTAAATGTGCGCTTACAAAAATAACGTTGCCGCCCCCCCTCACCGCCCCCCCCACCACCCCTTGTCCGCAGCTCCGGGAGGACCGTCGTTCACCATCGGCAAGTGCGTGTGGCTGCTGTGGGCGCTCGTGTTCAACAACTCGGTGCCCGTAGAGAACCCGCGTGGCACCTCGAGCAAGATCATGGTGCTCGTGTGGGCCTTCTTCGCCGTCATCTTCCTCGCCAGCTACACGGCCAACTTGGCCGCCTTCATGATCCAGGAGGAGTACATCGACCAGGTGTCGGGTCTCAGTGACAAGAAGGTGGGGTCCGCGTTGCTGGGAGGGGGGGGGGGAGGTGTAGCGGTCAGCGGTCGATGTGCCGTGAACGGCTGGCGGCGGCCCGAGTTTGATTCCCTCTCCTCGCGGCAAACATCGGTATTTGGGTCATTTGCTGACATTACCCAAATAATAACACGAGCCATAGACAAACATTGCCCAATATATATTTTTGGTTCTTTCGGTAAAGTCACGTAGAAGGGAAATAATAAAATAAAATAAATATTTATATTATTTTAAATATTTATTTTATTTTAAATATTTATATTATTTTATTATTTCCCTTCTACGTGACTTTATAAATATTAATATTATTTTATTATTTCCCTTCTACGTGACTTTATAAATATTAATATTATTTTATTATTTCCCTTCTACGTGACTTTACCGAAAGAACCAAGAATATGAATCCCTGCGGTCATGAAAGCTTTAAATCTAAATTTCCCAATATACTTACATGACCCATGTGCTGACATTACTCAGAGAATAACATTATCCACAGACCAGGGGTCGGCAAACCAAAATAACAAAAGAGCCATTTTTTTGTAGAATTCGGGAAAAAAATTCAAAAGCGGCAATGCACGTGGTGAGCATGTGACGGTGCTCTTTGATAAGTCCCTTAAAACGAGCTGCAGGTTACTGACCCCTGGCCATGGTGAACTGGAATTTCATGAAGAACTGGACTTCCATGGTGAACCGGACTCCCATGGTAAACTGGCCTTCCATGGTAAACTGGCCTTCCATGGTAAACTGGACTCCCATGGTAAACTGGCCTCCCATGGTGAACTGGACTTCCATGGTGAACCGGACTCCCATGGTAAACTGGCCTTCCATGGTAAACTGTACTTCCATGGTAAACTGGACTTGCATGGTAAACTAATCTTCCATGGTGAACTGGAATTCCATGGTAAACTGTACTCCCATATTAAACTGGACTCCCATGGTAAACTGGCCTTCCATCGTAAACTGGCCTTCCATGGTAAACTGGACTCCCATGGTAAACTGGACTCCCATGGTAAACTGGACTCCCATGGTAAACTGGACTTCCATGGTAAACTGGACTTCCATGGTAAACTGGCCTCCCATGGTGAACTGGACTTCCATGGTGAACCGGACTCCCATGGTAAACTGGCCTTCCATGGTAAACTGTACTTCCATGGTAAACTGGACTTGCATGGTAAACTAATCTTCCATGGTGAACTGGAATTCCATGGTAAACTGTACTCCCATATTAAACTGGACTCCCATGGTAAACTGGCCTTCCATCGTAAACTGGCCTTCCATGGTAAACTGGACTCCCATGGTAAACTGGACTCCCATGGTAAACTGGACTCCCATGGTAAACTGGACTTCCATGGTAAACTGGACTTCCATGGTAAACTGGCCTCCCATGGTGAACTGGACTTCCATGGTGAACCGGACTCCCATGGTAAACTGGCCTTCCATGGTAAACTGTACTTCCATGGTAAACTGGACTTGCATGGTAAACTAATCTTCCATGGTGAACTGGAATTCCATGGTAAACTGTACTCCCATATTAAACTGGACTCCCATGGTAAACTGGCCTTCCATCGTAAACTGGCCTTCCATGGTAAACTGGACTCCCATGGTAAACTGGACTCCCATGGTAAACTGGACTTCCATGGTAAACTGGACTTCCATGGTAAACTGGCCTCCCATGGTGAACTGGACTTCCATGGTGAACCGGACTCCCATGGTAAACTGGCCTTCCATGGTAAACTGTACTCCCATATTAAACTGGACTCCCATGGTAAACTGGCCTTCCATCGTAAACTGGCCTTCCATGGTAAACTGGACTTGCATGGTAAACTAATCTTCCATGGTGAACTGGAATTCCATGGTAAACTGTACTCCCATATTAAACTGGACTCCCATGGTAAACTGGCCTTCCATCGTAAACTGGCCTTCCATGGTAAACTGGACTCCCATGGTAAACTGGACTCCCATGGTAAACTGGACTCCCATGGTAAACTGGACTTCCATGGTAAACTGGACTTCCATGGTAAACTGGCCTCCCATGGTGAACTGGACTTCCATGGTGAACCGGACTCCCATGGTAAACTGGCCTTCCATGGTAAACTGTACTCCCATATTAAACTGGACTCCCATGGTAAACTGGCCTTCCATCGTAAACTGGCCTTCCATGGTAAACTGGACTCCCATGGTAAACTGGCCTTCCATGGTAAACTGGACTTGCATGGTAAACTGGACTCCCATGGTAAACTGGCCTTCCATGGTAAACTGGACTTGCATGGTAAACTGGACTCCCATGGTAAACTGGACTTCCATGGTGAACTGGACTTCCAAGGTGAACTTGACACCCATGGTTGGAGTTGGCAACCAAAGCCATTTTGTCGAATTTCAAGAACTCCACTGCGGTCCCTTAAAGAGCCACTGGATGCGGGACCGGAGCCGCGGGTTTGCCAATCCTCCCGCCACAGACTAACACTTCCCGCAGACTAGTATCGCCCGTAGACTGACATCGGCCCCAACGTCGTGAAATAAACGACGTTCATTTCACCCGACGAAGTGTTTTTTCACGTGCGAACCGTCTCACGGAGCCGCGCACGAGGTCCCAGAATGGATGGAGTGGCGCAACCGCGGCCGTGGCCATGGGCAACAATTCACCGGTGGGGTGGCCCCTGCCTCGCCTCCTTCCGCAGTTCCAGAAGCCTACGGAGCAGTACCCGCCGCTGCGCTTCGGCACGGTGCCCAACGGCAGCACGGAGCGGAACATCCGCAACAACTACCCGGAGATGCACGCGTACATGTCGCGCTACAACCAGCGCACCGTCGAGGACGCGCTGCTCAACCTCAAGGCCAGGTGGGCGACCGTGCAGGGTCGTGTGCGTGCCACGCAGCCGGGCGACAGAGCCACGCGCTGTGTGCCAAAGGGCCATGGGCAGAAAAAAGGGCTACGTGCCACAGGCCAAAGGGTCACGCGCCACGTGTCAAAGGGCCACCGGTTAAAGGGCTACGCAACCACGGGTCAACGGGCCATGCAGCAGACTACGGGCCAAATTTCGTTTGTGCATCGGAGAAATCCGATGAGCTATTAAGCTCTTTATCACACCTTTTTCACACACCCCCCCCCCCCCCGCATGCCTGCCCGCCTCTCTATCTCGCAGCAAGCTGGACGCGTTCATTTACGATGCCGCGGTGCTCAACTACATGGCGGGCAAGGACGAGGGCTGCAAGCTGGTGACCATCGGCAGCGGCAAGGTCTTCGCCACCACGGGCTATGGCATCGCGCTCCAGAAGGGCTCCAAGTGGAAGCGCAACATTGACCTCACCGTGCTGCAGTTGCTGGGTGATGGTGAGCAGTGGGGGGCAGTTGCTCACTAATTGCCATGCTGAGCCGTGATGCTACTGGCCTCGCAAGGAATCTTAAACTGGCTCGGGGGCCAAGCAGGGCCAGGGGTGGGACTAGTGATGTCTTAGTTGTGTGCGTGACGTCAGTCGGTATGTGGTGAGCACTCGGCATCACCGCATCACCCACGCGCGTCTCCGCTCGTTCACAACGAGGGACGTCAGCAGCGCGGCTCGGATTCTGCAGCAGTGGAAAAACAACAAGGCCACTCAGGTTTGGCTTGAGCATGGCCCCGACATGGCTTGGTTTAATAGTGGAAAAGCCATTTCCCATGTGTACCAATTGAACTTCCCTGCCAGATGTTGCCGACACCTTCATTAATTACCTTTAACTTTTAGCTTTTACCCAATACATACGAAATAATGGCTTCCAAACGCCGTTCTATACTCGTGGGACAAAGCACGGGAAATTGTCTTGAATCGCCGTCTCAATGTGCAAATGTTTTAATGCGGACAGAGCCAACGTCTCGCCAGGTTTCTGCTTGGATTATCGAGGTCACTGTTCGGCATGTGTGCGTCATAGCGGGTGGTGGTTGCTGCGATACACCATTCTTCTCGCTCGTCGCAACTGTTATGTTTTGAATGTGCGGCCCGCCCCCCCCGCCCTCCCCCCCTACTGTGTCGCATTGTCACACGCGAGTTAAACGACGGGAGGGAGAGAGATTGAGCGGAAGAAGTGGTGGGGGGATCGCGCGTGCAATCCGCGTGATCGGCCTCCCCATATCGCGCGGACGTTTGATCAGTCGCACGCCGTGGTGAGAACGTGTAAACAAACTAGACGGTTCAAGTTGTGGAAGCTCCGGGGAAATCGGCCACTTGGCAAGGTCTGCTGACGTTTGACATGGCTCGTGGATCAGAGAACACTGCTTGGAGCACTGTAATTGAATCCAGGCTTCTGTCACTGCCCGTGATTAGGGTTAGGCTTAGGGTTCTCAAGTGTAGTGAGTTTGTTGGTCATTGCCTGGCAGAGGTCGCAACTGGGTACCCGATACCCGTACCCTACCCGATACCCGGCCGGGTACGGGTAGCCGTTTGCGACCCTGGTGCGGCCGGGTACGGGTACGGGTAGGCCGTGAGTCACTGGTGAGTAGCCGTTTGTCACTCATTTCGGGTAGGGTACGGGTACGGGTAGGGAACGGCTACCCGTACCCGGCCGGGTACGGGTACGGGTAGCCGTTTGCGACCCTGGTGCGGCCGGGTACGGGTACGGGTAGGCCGTGAGTCACTGGTGAGTAGCCGTTTGTCACTCATTTCGGGTAGGGTACGGGTAGGGAACGGCTACCCGTACCCAGCCGGGTACGGGTACCCATTTGCGACCCTGGTGTGGCCGGGTACGGGTACGGGTAAGGAATCAAAACCCGTTTGCGACCTCTGTTGCCTGGTCACCAGTGAAGGGCATTGAGAACCACAGACTTACAGAGAGACCCGTAGACTCACACAGATCGAGTTGTGGTTAAACCGGCTCCTCAAGTGTAGTGAATTTGATGGTCACAGCTCGGTGACCGGAGAGTAATTGGCTGCAATAAATGTCCACGTGATCATAAGCCACTTCATTGAGCTATCATTTATGGCCAGGTCGCTTCTGAAAAAGAGCAATATAGCTCAGTGGGCCTTTCCTTGTAAAATAAAACATATTTTTCGATTTAAAACTTTCGTGACTGCAGGGATTCATCTAGAGTCTGTCTACTCGACAGACCTGCTCTCCACCTGAGGATGGCTGCTTGTGTTGTGGCCGAAACGTCGTGAGAATTATTTTATTATGTTTTATTTTTATTATTTATTATTTCCATTCTACGTGACTTTACCGAAAGAACCAAGAAAATAAAACATAGTTTAGTTTGAAGATAAAAGATACTTATTTTAGACCACGTAAAAATCCATTTCAGAATCAGAATATTTATTTTGACTGATGTAATTTGAAGAGGTGTGAAGCTCTTTTTCAATGATATCCAGTGTGGGCGGGTCAGAAAAGTTACAACAGCAACGGGCACGGCAGCAAAAATAACACCACACAGCAGCAGTCCCTCAATAAAATGGCATATGAACCATGAACTATCAATATTTCGCAGGTGAGGATCAAAGTTGGTTCACCGTGCTTAGATCAACCCCCTGCCCACGAGCCTCTACTCTGCTCGGTGTCCCCTCCTTCTCCAGATGAGCTGGAGGAGCTGGAGACCATCTGGCTGGCCGGCATCTGCAAGAAGGAGAAGAACGAGGTGATGAGCAGCAAGCTGGACGTGGACAACATGGCGGGCGTCTTCTACATGCTGCTGGTGGCCATGGGCCTCAGTCTGCTCGTCTTCCTCGCTGAGCACATCTTCTACCGGCGTGTGGGCCGTGCGGGCCGCAAGGCCTCCATCAACCCCACGCCGCGCATTCTGCTCGCCATTAGCAGGGTGAGTGGCTCCTTTCTCCCTTTGCTTAGCACAGGCCCGCAGGCTCTCAGGCCTGTAGGCTGTAGGCTCGCAGAATCTCAAGCCTGTAAGCTTGCAGGTCTGCAGACTTTCAGGCCTGAAGGGCTGCAGGCTCTCAGGCCCGCAGGTTCTCAGGCCTGTAGGCTGTAGGCTCGCAGAATCTCAAGCCAGTAAGCTTGCAGGTCTGCAGACTTTCAGGCCTGAAGGGCCGCAGGCTTTCAGTCCTGTAGGCTCGCAGGCTCATAGGTCCGTAGGCCTGCAAGATCTCAGGCCTGTAAGCTTGCAGGTCTGCAGGACTTTCAGGCCTAAAGAGCCGAAGACTTTCAGGCCTGAAGGGCCGCAGGCTCATAGGTCCGTAGGCTCGCACATCCACAGGCCCGCAGGCTCTCAGACCCGTAGGAGATTATTATTATTTAACCTTGATTTATGTTCGTGCAATATTTTCCATTTCCCATGTGACAATGCGGTTGTTTGTTAGGATTTCCCTTCGTTTCATTGCTGCAAGTTTGCGAAAATCCACCTACCTGGTCAAACAAAATAAACTGGAAACTGGCAAATGGACGTGGCTATCTGGACAGGGTCAAGCAGCGCTAGCGATTGAGTGGGCGTGGCAGTGTTAAAATGGGCTGGTTCGACCAGCCTCCCGGAATACATTGGTAGCTTCACGAGCACTTCAGAATCAGAATATTTATTTGTACTGGAGGAATCCGATGAGGTATCCAGTAGAACCGTTCTCCCCACCCCCCCACCCCTTGCTCTCTGTCACCCACAGGGCATCTACAGCTGCCTGTATGGCGTGGAGGTGAGCAAGGACAAGGGGCTATTTGCGCTGGCACAGCAGGAGAGCCAGGACGAGCATGCCAACGTCAACCGCCTGCTGCGCGCCGCCCGCAGCATCGTCCGCATCGTCAACCGCAAGAAGCGCAGCGAGCAGCGGGCCAAGGCAGGCCGCAGCGGCGACCGGGAGCGGCGGGGGCGGCTCCTCGCGGGGGCTCGCGGTACCGTGCGGCACGTGCGGCTGCTGCGAGCGCGGGCCGCTGGCACGAGCCGCCCACGGGGGCCGCCGTGGCCCGGCCGCCATCATCCTCAAGAAGCACGGGCTCTCCGACGGCGGCCGGGCCGCGTACAGTGTCCGCGGCCCGGGCGGGGGGCCCTGCCCGTTGCACCGCGACTGCCGGCGAGGCGCCCCCAAGCCTCTGCCGCTGCCGGTACCGCTGCTGGCGCCCGACGCGGCCGGCGGGCCGCGCAGCCCGCGACTTGTGGTGGCGCTGGGGCCCGACGCGTGGCCCCGCTCGCTCGGCGCCGATGGCGGTTGCGTGGCCGACCACGACAGGCGCTCGCACGGCAACTGGGAGACGGACAGCGACAACTGGTTGTTCATCACGCGTAGCCCACGAGGGACCGCCGCCCCCGCCGGCACAGGCGGCTTCGGAGACTCGCCGAGTTCGGCGGTCGGCCTCTCGGACGCCGCGGACGGTGCCGTTCCCGCGTGGAACTGTCCGCTGCACGGCTTTCGCGATGCCGCCGCGGCCGCCCCCGCTGCCGGCGCCACCTCAGCCCCTGCCGCTGGACCCGACGCGCGGGCCGTGGGGGCCCGGCGGCGGCGGCTGCGGCCTCCCATACGCGGGCGAGTCGTTGCCGTCGCGCAGCCTGGAAGAGCTGCGCGGCGGCCTCGAGTCACCGGGTGACGCCGACGTCGACCTCATCCCTGAGAAGGCGCGGCGGCGGCCGCTGTGCCGGCGCAAGCGGAAGAGCCGCCTGCAGGGGCACAGGCGGCGTGCGCTGTCCCCGCCGTTCTGCCCGGCAGCCAAGCGGGTGAGCGGGACGGGCTGCCAAGGCAGCGGCGCCGGCGTCGGCACCGTTGCCGCGACGGCGCCGTACGACCCGCGCGACAGCTCGTCGTTCGAGTGCTACGCCCGCCCGTCGGTGGAGAGCTACAGCCTCGACGACGACCGTGACGACGACGAGGACGACGAGGACGTGGAGACGTTCTCGGAGCGCGACTCGTACACGGCGTCCGAGTCGCTGTACGGGCTGTCGCCGCCGGCCGGCGGCCACTGGTACGCCGACTCGGAGCGCAGCACATACTGCGAGCGGCGAAGCGACACCGCGGACGATGCCCTCAGCTGCAGCCCCGCCGGGAGCGGTGGCGCTGGCCGGCGGCGGCTGCGGCGGCGGCGACGGCGGCGGCGGGCCGTACTGCTGTCGGCCGTCGCTCCCGCCGTGCGTCTCGACGCTGCCGGCACCCGTCACGGCGATGCAGCACCAGCCGCCGCCGCCGTACGCCACTGCGGACGGACGTTCCTGGATGGGCTACGGGGCTGGGTTTTCGAGACGGAGGCACCCGGCGGAGGTTCAGTGCAGGGCGGCTGCAGGTGGCGGCGGTGACGGCGGCGCCCTGGCATACGGCGGATCAGAGACAACACCGAACTCTGCCGCGCAATTTCCCCGCGCACAAGGACAAATCGAGATCTATGCATACGACTCTGTTGGGCTACGAGTCGGAGGTGTAGGTCGAGCGACCTTTGCGACCTTTGCGACCTTTATGACCTTTGCCCTCGCCTCACCCCCATCTTCGCCCACCTTTCACTCCCTCCCTGTTTTCGTTGCCCTCCCTGTCGCGTTGCCAGATTTGGGGTAGGAGCAAAAAAACAACCCGTGGATCCGCGGAGCAACGGCGGACCCCCGTGGTGGGGTGGAGGTGGCTGGAGGGGGGCAGAGTGGGCGTGGCCGGGGGGGGGGTAAGGGGAGCTGTCGCCGATGCCACGATGCGGAGGAGCGTGGCGTTTTTTAAGTTGCTGTTAATCCTGAAAAAAAAGTTACGTTAGAAGCGCACGGACGTTCCGCGCAAGTTCCGTTGAAGGTTAAGTGGTTGTGGTGGCGGTGGTGGTGGTGGGGGAGGCGGGGGCGGGTGGTGGTGGTGGGTGGTGGTGGTGGGGAGGTCAAGGGTGGGTCGGGGGGGGTGACGGTTAAGAGAGGTCTTGAGCTGCTGCCCACGAGCGTGATTGTGTCACGCTGTTGAGGTACGTTCCCGTTATCGTTGTACGTTAAAAGGGGATGAGGGGGGGGGGTGTCGGGGGGGGGTTTGCACAACTTGGGGTCCCGTGGTTGACGGCCGCGACACTGCAGGCCTTCGTAGAGAACTTGAACAATGCCCGCACTGCCTAACAGCTGAAAACAATCAAAATTGATCTTATTTAAGGACATTAACGAATCCAATTTTTAATTTTTACTCATTCGTTTTGAACCTCTCCCGTTCGATACGGACCAATGCTGTCAAAGCCGCATTGGTTTTCAGCAAGCAAACTCCGGAGCCGGTTTCGACCTTCTGGGTCTCATCGGTGTACGTTCGAAAACCGGCCCAGAGTTAACTTGTCAATACATTTTTCTTTTAAAGGGGTACAAAAAAAATCACTCAAATCTGTCAACTCCCCGTATTTCTTCGGAGGGGTGGGGCGGTGGTTGGGGCGTTGGTGGGAGGGGTGGGGGGGGGCGTTGGTGGGGGGGGGGAGATAGGGGGCGCGTAAGAAGCTTTGTGACGTAGCTTCTACGACGGTTGTCAGTGGCCACGTGGCGGCCGTCGTTTTGGACGTGGGCCCCGTTGATGCCTCTCTCTCGCCGTGCGGGCGGCTTTCATCACCTCCACTGGTTGGGTGGGTGGGGGGGGGGGGGTGGAGGGGGGGGAAGGTCGCGTTGCAGCAGCAGGGTACCGACCGTGGAGCGACCGGAGGATCGCCCGGCCAACGGGAGATGCGTCGCGTGACTCGTTTTGATTTCGTCCGTGCGTTCCGTGTCGCAGCGATGTTAGCCGGTGCTGTGTTTGTCTGTCTGTCTTCGTGTGTTCGTGGTTCTATATATCGGGGGTGGGGGTGGGGCGGGGGAGTGGGGGGAGCGTGGGGGGGGGGAGATGGTTGTGTCTAGCGGTGGTAAAGCAATGCAGCAGCAGGGTAGAGGAAGGTGGAACGGAATCTATTAAACCTAAACTTTTTGTTTGTGTTAACCAGGCGAGGCCCACTGAGCTGTGTAGCTCTTTTAAATAAACGACCTGGCCACAATGGATAGGTCAACGAAGTGGCTTATCATCGCGTGAAAATGTATAGTAGCCAAATGCTCTAAACGCACATCGATTCTGAATGTGGAGGGGAAAAACGGAGGGCCTCAGAGACACGCAAACTCCAAATACACAGCAGCAGGCGTCAGAGTCGGGATCGAACCCATGACCTCCTGTACACCAGGAGAGGTAGTTAACATCTCCTAGCCACCGTGATGATGATAAGAGAGACACGCAAACTCCAAATACACAGCAGCAGGCGTCAGAGTCGGGATCGAACCCATGACCTCCTGTACACCAGGAGAGGTAGTTAACATCTCCTAGCCACCATGATGATGATGAGAGAGAGAGAGACACGCAAACTCCAAATACGCAGCAGGAGGCGTCAGAGTCGGGATCGAACCCACGACCTCCTCTATAGCAGGAGAGGTAGTTAACATCTCCTAGCCACGGTGATGATGATGAGAGAGACACGCAAACTCAAAATACACAGCAGCAGGCGTCAGAGTCGGGATCGAACCCATGACCTCCTCTATAGCAGGCGAAGTAGTTAACATCTCCTAGCCACCGTGATGATGATGAGAGAGAGAGACACGCAAATTCCAAATACACAGCAGCAGGCGTCAGGGTCGGGATCGAACCCACGACCTCCTGCACACCAGGCGAAGTAGTTAACATCTCCTAGCCACCGTGATGATGATGAGAGAGAGAGACACGCAAATTCCAAATACACAGCAGCAGGCGTCAGAGTCGGGATCGAACCCAGGACCTCCTTTATACATGACACGAGGGATTTGACATCTCCTACCCACCGTGGCGCCCCAATCAATCTTCAGGAACATGACACTGTCCGTCTGTCTGTGTTAGAGCTGTGTTCACGGCGCTGTGTGTGTGTGTGTGTGTTCAGGTTCAATTACTGGGCAGGGTCTGGCTTGACTGGGCAGGGAGACAGGAGAGAGAGAGAGACACAGAGAGAGATTCCAGCAGTCGGAAATCAATTGAGGCTCAGAGTGGCCGAAGAAGCTCGACTGGGGGAGCTTGCGAGAGGGTCGCATCCTTCTTCGTGGTCCTTTCGGTAAAGTCACGTAGAAGGGAAATAATAAAATAATACAAATTTAACATATTAATTATCACGTCGTGACCTATCCATTGTCGTTGACCTATCCATTGTGGCCAGGTCGTTTCTTTAAATAAAAATAAAACATAATAATTCTCACGACGTGAGAATTATAATGTTTTATTTTTATTATTTTATTATTTCCCTTCTACGTGACTTTTACCGAAGGAACCAAGAAGATGAATCCCTGCAGTCACGAAAGCTTTAAAGCGTCGCATCCGTTCGCACGGACCGGCCTTGCCATAGCAGCGGCACCCGAGCAAAAAATGAATACGGGCGGAACGGACACCCCAATCACCCCCCCCCCCCCCCCATCCTTCAGGACGCTTGCCACCAGCATACGCACGCTCATCCGGATCTTAAGAGGGCCCAAATCGTTCCCGACACCCCCACCCACCCCTCGTCGAGACAAGATGCTGCGCCACGTTGCCCGACTCGCCCTGGAGGGCCCCGCGAGACTCACCGGCGTTGGGCCTACGGGAGCGGAGGGAGAGGGGAAAAACTAAAATTTGGACGGAGAGAGGAAAGGCGAAGGGGAGGGAGGGAGGGAGCGAAGATCTCACGCAGCCAGCGCCGCGCTCGGTTGTCTTACAGCTCTCGGAGAGACAGCGGTGGAAATTCCACATTCCTATGGCGGGAGGGTTCGCGGGGTGGGGTATCTGCCAGAAGCCCTAATAACGACAACCGCCGCTCCGTCGACGGTTTCTATAAATGGGCCCGCGCGTTGTTGTTGTTATTGTTTATATTGACGACCTAGACGTGACCTCCCTCCCCCCTCCAGCTCACTGACCCCCCCCACCTCCCACCCACGGCCGCCCCCACCCCTACCCCCGTAACCTGGATTTGAACTCGTGACCTTCCCGATGTTCTCGGCCGCACCGCAGCTCGCGATGGCTGCGGGGGCCCCGCATCGCAATAAACGAGAGAGCAGCAGGAGGAGGAGGAGGGTGACGAGGGAAGGGCTGGGGGTGGTGGGTGGGGGAGGGGTGTTAGTTTGACGGATGGACGGGGGAGCGTGGCCCTGCATGCCCCGGCCCACGTGCAGACGCAGTGGGGGGAGAGGTGGGGAATGCGCAGCGGGTAGAGCCGTCAGGAGCCGTGGCACAAGCGCATCATCGTCCGTCATTCACGGCAGGGAAAGCGAACTCCGCTCGTTTTATTGTAAATCGCCTCAATCGCTGCCCCCCCCCACCACCCCCGCCTCCACGTTTCACCTCTACCCCCCTCCCCACCACCTCGCCAACCCACCCACCCCCTCCTCCTGCCCGTATAGAATATGGAACTCGGAGGGTGAGGCTGGGGGTGGTTTGTCTCAGCCAATTACCAGCAGCTCAAAGTCACGATCGCTGCGCTCCCCCCACCACCCCCCCACCCCACGCCGCGTGACGCCAAAGCGAATAGAAATTAGCGGAGCTGTCGGTGTGCGT